AGATTAAAATCAAATGCCGAATTATGATCAAAAGCATTCAAAGTACATAAGACAAAATAATAATATATTTTATATTAGGGATAATATATATATCCCTAATATAAAAACACTTCAAAAAAATAAGAATATTACAATGTTTAAAAAAAAAGAGCTACCCAAGGTCAATTAACAAACATGAATAAACATGAAAAAAAAAAAAAACTTTAAAATATTTAACCTTTCCGGTACTCAAAGAAAATTTAAATGTCCTAATATTTTCACTAAAAAAAAAAACCAAACACTGTTTTAATAGTAATATACAGTGATTAAACTGTATAAGAAAATAACATTGAATAATAAGAGATATGGTTATGTGTAATCTCACACTCTACTAGCATAGTATAAATTAGAAACTGCATTCTAGAGGACAATTTCATACAATATATTTATTTAAGCTTCCAAAATGTTCATATCTTTTCACACAGAGGTTCTGTTGGTATGTATCTGCCAAACATCAAATGAGGCACTTCAACAAAAAAGGATTCCTTAATTAAATGAGTTTATCAAAACTAACAATACTCTGTATTACATGCTAATTATCCACTGAAATTAATGGCAAAAATATAATTTATTGGCACAAAAAGATGTCCAGGTTAATGATTTTCAAAAACACACAAAACAGTGTAATAAGAATAATTCAAAAATTTTTAAGTATATAGTATATGTAAAAATGCACACAAAAAATCTAAAAGGATCTGAATGAGAACATTTTCAATGATTTTTGTCTTGCTTTTTCTATTTATTTGTTTGTATTTTTAAATTAAATTTTATTAAATTTATTTGGGTGATGCTGGTTAATAAAATTATATAGGTTTCAAGTATACAATTCTATAATACATCATCTGTATAGTGCATTGTGTGTCCACCCAAAGTCATCTCCTTTGTTACTATATATTTGACCCCCTTTACCCTTTTTCTACTTTCCCCACGAACTCCTTTCCCTTTGGTAGCCACTATATTGTTGTCTGTATCTGAGTTTTTATTTGTCTTGTTTGTTTCTTTCAGTTTATATCCCACCTGAGTGAAATCATAATGATTGATTTTTCTTTTTACCTGCTTTATTTTGTTTGGCATGATATTCTCAAGATTCATTCATATTGTTATAAATTACGGTATTATATTTTTTCTTTTGACTGAGTAGTAGTTCATTGTGTGTGTGTGTGTGTGTGTGTGTGTGTGTGTGTACCGCGCCCCCCCCCCCACCATCTTTGTCCAATCATCTAACAAAGGACAACTTGATTCTTTCTATGCCTGGGCCACCATGAATAATGCTGCAATGATCATAGGAATACATACCTATATGAATAAATGTTTTCAAAGTTTTGAGGTAGCTATCCAAAAGAGGGACTGCTGGATCATACGGTTATTCTTAATGTTTGAAGCCTTTCAATACTGTTTTCCATTGTGGCTGTATCAATTTACATTCCCACCAGCAATGAATGAGGGTTCCAAAACCTCTCCAAAATTTAGTAATACTTGTCTTGTTGATAATAGCCACTCTAACAGATGTTGATGTAATATCTCACTGTGGTTTTGATTTGCATCTCCCTAATAGCCAGAAGTTTAACATCTTTTCACATATCTCTTGGCCATTTGTATGTCTTCTTGGGTAAAGTGTCTGTTCAGGTCCTCTGCCCCTTTTTTAATTGGACTGTTATTTTTTGTTGTTGAGTTGTATGAGTTCTTTATATATTTCAGATATTAATACCTTATGGGAAGTGTTGTTTTCAAGTATCTTCTTCCATTTGGTGGGCTTTTTATTTTGTTGATAGTTTCATTTGCTGTGCAGAAGCTTTTTAGTTTGATATAGTCCCACCCAATTTTTTTTTTTTTTTTTTGCTTTTCCTTCCGTTGTCTTTCAGGTCAAATTCGTAAAATCCTCTCTAAGACCAAGGTCCATAACTTTGTTTCTCCTATGTTTCCCTCTAGGTATTTTATTGTTTCAGGTCTTATATTTAGGTCTTTGATCCATTTTGACTTAAATTTTGTGTATTTGACAAAGAGCAGTCTAGTTTTATTATTTTGCATGCGGATTGCCAATTTTCCCAACACCATTTATTGAAGAGAGTATCTTTTCTCCATTATATGATTTTGGCTTCTTTGTCAAAAATTATCTGCCCACATAGAAGTGGGTTTACTTCTGGGCTCTCCATTCTGTTCCATTGGTCTGTGTGTCTCTTTTCTGCAAAAACTATGCTGTTTTGAGTATTTTCACTTTGTAATATAATTTGAAGTCAGTGATACCTCTGGCTTTGTGCTTTCTTCTCAGGATTTCTTTGGCTCTATGTGGAAATTATGTTGTATTTCTTTTTAAAATGCCACTGATATTTTGATGGGGATTACATTAAATCTGTATACTGGTTTGAGTAATATGGCCACTTAACCTGTTGATTCTTCCAATCCATGAACATGGAATACAATGGTACCTCTGTACTCACCATTATTTGTTCCACAGCTCATGATGAGTACTGAAACGAGCACAGAACTGTTCAAGAGCTACCGAATGACTTGACAGTTTGGCCTGTTTCATTGTGCGAGAGGGGCACAGAGTGGTTGAGCAAGAGCCAAGTGCTGATACCTTTTTTTCTCATTCAAATGTGACAAGTATAGGGTTTGACAAGTTCGGAAGCCAATGAATACTGAAGTATGACTGTACCTTTCCTTTTCATTGTATCTTCTTCAATTTCTTTTAATAGTGTCTTAAAATTTTCAGTATTTAGGTCCTTCACACCCTTGTTAAGTTTATTCCTAGGTATTTTATTCTTTTGGTGGCAAATGTAAAAGGAATTTTTGTTAGTATATAGGAACACAATATATTTTTCTGCATTGATTTTGTATCCTGCAACTTTACTGTGTTTATTGTTTCTAATAGTTTTTTGGTGAAGTCCTTAGAGCCTTCTATAAAAAGAATCATGCCATCTGCAAAAAGTGACAATTTTACTTCTGCATTCCCAACTTAGATGCCTTTTATTCCTTTCTTTTGCCTGATTGTTCTGGCTAGACTTCCAATAATATGTTGAATAACAGTGGTGAGCATGGGCATCCTTGCCTTATTCATAATCTTAGAGGAAAAACTTTCAGTTTTTCAACATTGAGTATGGTGTTAGCTGAGGGTCTGTCATATATGGCCTTTATTATGTTGAGGTAATTTCCTTCTATCTCCGTATTATTGAGTGTTTTAATTATTACTGAATGTTGTATCTTATCTAATGCTTTTTCTGCATCTGCTGATACTATCATATAATTTTTACACTTTGTTAATGTGGTGTTCATATTAATCAATTTATATATATTGAACCATCCTTGAGCCCCTGCAATCAACCCCAGTTGACTGTAATATATTATCTTAATGTATTTCAATTTCACACAACATACTTTCTGAAACTTCCAAAATGTTCATTCCCTTTTTCAGAGATTGTTATTATGCACATGCCAAACAGCAAATAACTCACTTCAGTGAAAAGGGGTTATTTCATTAAATTACAGTCTATCAAAACTAATAATACTCTGTATTACATGCTAACTATCCACTAAAAATAATGGCAACAAATATAAATTTATTGACACAAAAAGATATTGAGGTTAATAATTTTCAAAAACATACAAAACAGTATAATCAATACACACACACACCAGCAGAATATGAATGAGAAAATTCTGGATGATTTCTGTCTTGTATTTTTCTGTACTTCCAAATTTTTTAGATATTAATAATCTGCATTATAAATGCTTAATACAAAAATATCTAAAACCTTAGAATTCACTGCAGTGATATTTTCTCCCACAGATGGAGTAAATCAACAGGTACCTCAAATAAATGGTAACACTAGAAGGCACACTGGGTAATAGAAAAATCTTCTAACATGCGAAAGAGAATAGAAAAATAATATATGAATGAAATAATAAAAATATATGGGAGAGAAACAATAACTAAGGTTTTAAAAAACCTAACAACAAATACCCTATCATGGTGGCAGAAAATAATTTTGAGGAATGGAAAGGAACAAGTAATATTTTACAACAGGATTATTTTTTAAGAAAGGATGTATGAGCCCTGGCTGAGTGGCTCGGTTGGTTGGAGCACCATACACGAAAATGTCTGCAGGTTCAATTCCCAGTCAGGGCACAGACCCAGGTTTTGGGTTCAATCTCCAGTCAGGGAGTATATGGGAGTCAACCTACTGATGTTTCTCTCTTTCTTTTCATCCTACCTCTCTAAAATAAAAACATATCCTCAGATGAGAATTTTAAAGAGGGGGAAAAAAGGATATATGATCTCACAATGAATAGTATATCAAATAATAATTAATTCAATAAAATCTTGATGTCTGAAAGAATACAAAATGCCAGTAAGCCTTAAAAGGACAAATCCATAGGGTCTAAAATGTCATGTAAATGTTAAAATACTAAATATCTAGGTTAGTCTAAAAGGTACTGTATTTTGCTGTGTATAATGCACTTCCATGAATAATGCGCATCCACATTTTTGTGCGTATTATACCCACAATTATACCCATGGTATGTATTCATTATACCCATGTATAATGTACATCCTTATTTTTCCCTCAAATATTATGGCAAAAAAGTATGCATTATACACAGCAAAATTCAGGAATATACTTTTATTTACTTGTTTTGTACTCCTACAAACTCAGTAACCTATTTTAGTAATTGCATTATACACAGAAAAACTTGGTAATATACTTTTGTTTACTTGTTTTGTACTCCTATGAACTCAATAACCTACTTTAGTAATTTTAGTAATTGTACTCCTATGAACTCAGTAACCGTAACAACTATACTTTGTCCAAATCTCTTCGGAATTTGATGAAGACCTATACTTTACATTTTCTAATGTAGGCCTATAATTAAAACAAAATACAAAAAAATTCCTTTATTACTTCTCAGCTTAAAAACAAAAATATTATATTCAAATATCAACAAAATAATGTCCACTGTACCTTATTATAACGATCATGTGGGACAGACTGTAAAACGATTGGTTCCATTGTAGAAACATTGGCAAATTGTACCTCTGGAATATATAGGGCACAAACCACATGAGCCCAACCTAAAAATAAATAAATAAAAATAACATCATTTCTAGTTTTAAATAAAGGTTTTTCAAAGGTAAATAAAACCCATAACGTTTTTCCTAAAGAGATCCCTTAAATGCCTACTGCAGCAAATAAACAACAAAAACATCAATGAATTCTCACTACTGATTGAATAGTCAAACCCCTACTGAAAAAGCACTCCTAATCATTTTTCTACACACATGCATAGTATCACAAATAAAGGGACTCTTTTTAAAATTCAGATTCTGGCACTGACTGACACTTCAATAAATAAATCAGATAATCACTACTTCTAGAACCACTGTAAAAATAAGAATTTTTATAGGTGAATACCGAAAATAAAATATTTACTACTTTAATTTTAAATGTCAACATTAAACTTTCCTTTTATATTGATATCAATATTTTTAAATTGATATTTTATTAGTTCTGGCATTAATTATTTTAATATTTCACTTAAGATACTTTTAACAATTGATGTTAAATATGAATATTTATTTTAATTTTCAAAATGTCTCTGAGGCTACTAAAGAGGTGGTGTGATAGTGAGGAATTGATTCAAAGTCAGAAAAGGATGTGGTGTAAGTCCAGGTTGGTGAGTACAGCTTTTGGCTACGTTTGCCACTGAGCAGTCATCTGCCCATTTTAGAGAAAGCAGCTGAGAGGGTGAAAGGTGCTTTTTGACAAACTCAGAAGGCTGAAAGTACAGAGATTTTTATGTTCACAGACAACCAAAGGAAAAGGGAAACTAGGTGAGTACAGCTTTTGGCTACGTTTGCCACTGAGCAGTCATCTGCCCATTTTAGAGAAAGCAGCTGAGAGGGTGAAAGGTGCTTTTTGAGAAACTCAGAAGGCTGAAAGTACAGAGATTTTTATGTTCACAGACAACCAAAGGAAAAGGGAAACTGAAAGTACAGAGATTTTTATGTTCACAGACAACCAAAGGAAAAGGGAAACTAGCAAACCCCTCACTCCCTTTCAGCTACAACACTGAAGGGCTACAAGCTAGGAGTAACAATAAACTAAAAATGCATATGCCCACAAAGAGATTGCAGCTGGGCTTTGATCATCTCAGACTCTGAAATCTGACTCATGTATTCCTAAATTACAAGTGCCCCAAGGCACCAGAGAGAAGTAAATATATATCCTCTCTGGAGAAAAACGTTATCTTGGCTACAAATAATTTATATTATTAGTTCATTTCAGCACAGTAAAAAAATACCAAACACATGAGAGTCAAGACAGCATGAATGAAAACAAGCAGAATCAAGGAAAAAAAAACAGCCATGATCAGTGTGGCTCAGCTGGTTGGGTGTCATGCTGCAAAGTGAGAGGTCTGGGTTCGATTCCGGGTCAGGGCATATGGCTGGGTTGTGGTTTCCCCAGTTAGTTGTAAGCAACAGGCACCCCTGATGGATGGTGGTTCTCTCTTGCACTGATGTTTCTTGCCCTCTTTCTACTTCCCTTCGCCCTTTCTCTAAAAATAATAAATAAAATCTTAAATAAATAAAAAGAAAAAAACATCTGGGGTGTGGATTGCCACAGCGGCACAGCATGGCATGGCACAGGGAGCTTGCCTGTGCCTGGCTAGTGGGACGGTTAGCTAGGGGTGGACGCAGAACCGCCCCACAGGAAATGGAGCAGTTACTGTTGCCTGCAGAAGAGCCAAGGAGCTGAGCCCACAGAGAGCCATACATGGGGCAGGGCCCAGTAACCACACGGGCAGGTGCTGATTCCTCTCTTTGATGCTGACAATTATTGGCCAGAGAAGTCCTGATGGTCCAGTGCTGAGCAAAGCTGAATTTGTTGAAAAAGTTCATCAGAGTAACCTGTCCAGTCATGATGGAGATCCCAGTTATTGTTCTATACAATGAAGCTCTGGATGTTGACCCTCAGAACTCCATCTTTTACAGAAACAGATCTGCAGCATATATGAAAACCCAGTAGTATGACAAGTCCCTGAATGATACAATCAAAGTGTGACTTCTCAATCCCAAATGGCCTAATAAGGCATACTTCCTTGGCTATTGGGTACTTATTAGTATTCTGGGCACCATGCCAATGCCCTGGCAGCTTTTGCAAGTGAACTGGCTTAGGACCCCAAGAGTCTTCAGCTTATGGTGGGGATGGCAGAAGCTGCCATGAAAACCCCCATATGAGACTCCATCAAGGCCACTTATCAGCATCTTCAGGAAATGAAACTGGACAATAATCCCTTAGTGTCTGTGGTTGGGCAGGAACTCCTGACAGCTGACCATCATGGGGCCTCTGTCATCGTCTTATAAGCTGCTCTGAAGATTGGTATCCTCATCCTCAAACTGAGATCTTCTCTTTTCTCTGTCCTGAGCAGTGCTCACTGGTCTCTTGGAAACACAAAGAGAACTGGATATATGCAGCATGACTTGGACGTAGCCAAGACCTTAAATGATCAGACAGGAGAATGCCAAGCTCATGGGAATCCAGGCTTTGCATTTTCTCCAAAGAAAATTATTGGAGCCCTGACTGATGTAGCTCAGTTGGTCAGGTGTCCTCCTGCAAACGAAAAGGCTGCCAGTTCAAGTCCCAGTCAGGTCACATGCCTGAGTTGTGGGCCAGGTCCCCAGCTAGGGGTGTGCCAGAGGCAAGCAATTGATGCTTCTCTGATACAAATGTTTCTCTCTCTCTCTCTTTAAAAATAAATAAATAAAATCTTTCTTTAAAAAAAGAAAGATTATTGGGAGACTTTGAATAACCACTGGCATCAGTTGTGCTCACCATGAAACTCAACAATCAAGAGGTTGTTTTTGAGTGTTGCTTCTTACCTGCCTGAAATTAACTGGAAAATCTTTACTGCCATATCCCTGAAACTAGCCACCAATTGTTAAGACTGAAATTAATATTGGTTAAAGAAATATATAAAATGCCTAAAGAGAACTATTGCAATGAAATATATTTTGTTTAGGTTCAAAGTTTTAGTTGACAAGTCTTCTGGGATTTAACTGTTAAAGTGTGACATCTGCTCAGGAAGCATCTAATGTGTACAAAGCACTGTGCTGAGGATTGAGGGTCCAGGCAGTGGCTGTGGGGGTCACTCCCTTTGAAAAGTTCATGTTCTCTTTGAGAGAGAGTTTTAATGCAGCAAAACGATTAAACACTGCTTGAGTAGTAAGTGATAACATCCTCTTAATCACAGCCAATATTCTGGCCTAAAGGAGGCAGACGAGTATAAACCTGAGGAAGCTGTGTGAAACAGGTGGAACACAAGTTGGCACCTGAATAAGACAAAGAAATTGGCATATGGGGGTTCTAAAACCTGATCACAGCTTATCAGCCATGTTTTGCTGAGTGATAATGTAATGGGAGGGAGGGCACACTCCCCTGAGCCATGGAAATAAGGGAGAGGTTTGAGCTGCGCATGTGTGACTGCCAATTTTGCCCCCTTGCTAAACATGGTGGCCAGAAGAGGGGCAAAGGCAAGCATGGCCAACACTGGCCCTTGTTGGTTGGAAGATTTGGTGTTCGCACTGGCTTTAGACACCTATAGGATTCTGGGAGAGGACTTTTGAAACTGAGCAGGCTGGGAAGCGAAAAGTCAGTTGCTTCTTTCCCCTCACCCACGTTAGGGGCAGTGTGTCTTCAGTTACCAGTGGGCCTGCCAAAGGTGGACAGTGTGGGCCTGTGAGCGGAGGCCTGGGGCACAGACTCCAAATGATGCCTTAGGCTGTACTGTAACTGGAGACCAGCTTAACCACCTACATTTATGATATTTGTGGGTAGTAAAAGAGGTTCCTGGTACAACCTTGAACTAAGCTGGCAGAGAGTGACAGGGTGATTTTTCTTCTCTTTGTGTCTTAGAGGGAATGGTCTAATTGTTTGTATCTATTCAAACAAAATTTGAAATCCTATTGTAATACTGTTTTATAAGTTGTTTTTTCCATTAATATTTTTCCACTAATTTTTAAACATTTCTTCAGTTTATTAAATGTTCTATTTCTAAGAAAATTCTGTATTTTAGAGTTTCAGGCATAGGCATCGAAATAAGCATGCTTATTATATCCAAATACATACAAGACAAAATTGAAAATTTCTTCAAGGAATTGAAAACTATAATAATAAACCCAATAAAAGTACCAGAAGTAAATTCAAAAAAATTTTTACACTCACTGGGTAAAATCAGCAATGTTTGAGACATCAAAACATAATCAGAGGGCAATAACAAAACAGGGCAGCAGAAAATACCCAGTATGTTAGTACAAAACACGAAAGTGAGAAAAACACAGAAACACATTAAGACATAAATAGCATAATAAGCAAGCCTGGCACATGTCACAGAGAAATTAGAGGGAAAAAAGTCACAAAAGCAACATTTGAAATAATACTGAAAAATTATCTAAAAACTTCCCAAACAGAAGAAAGGTGACAAGTCATAGACTGAAGAATCATAATAAATCCAGCATATTTAAAAATAAATCCACATTAGTAAAACTACAGAAAACCAATGAGAGAGATAAAGACCAAACTATCAAAAGGCAAGTTGTCATCAAAAGAACCAGATAAATAAAGCCTAAAAATATCTTTAAATAAATTTTCACTAAAGGGAACACCGAACAATTTTCCTCAGGAAACAGGAAAAAATGGGCCAAAGATGAAGCTCCAAAATGACGAGAAAAAAATAAAACATGATAAACATGTAAATACTTTCACTGGATACTGACTGGTTAAAACAACAATACTTTTTTCCAGTTGAAATACATACGACTTTACGTCAAAACTTTAAATGTTGTCTGATAAAGTTTACAGTGTATGTAAATTTAACACATTAAAACTATTACAAAGATTGGGGAAAAAGCAGGTAGAAGACATCTATACAATTTCAAGGTTTTTACATTTTGTGGGAAGTGGCACACACAATCGACTGAATTTTTGGTATAATAATTATAATCCCCAAATGAACAACTATTTAACTAAATATTAGTATTTCTATACATAGAAAAATACAGAGTGTTTCCAGTGG